TTACTTTTAAACTAACATCATTCTCACATTTAAATCAGACAATAAAAAAGACAGGATGTAGTCCATAGAGATAGTTACTGTTACTATGATAGTTACTTTGTCTCCTCAATGCTTGTTAAGAAAAGGGAATTCTTCATCAACAGAAAAAGTCACAATCCAAAATGTAAAATGTTTTCCAGTTCACTGTGCTACAATTACTGTACTGTCCATCTACTGTAACTGTATTGCCTATGATAAAAATTAAATTATTACTGTACTATGATCACTGTGGTATGATTCTGTTCAATGTTAAACATTTAAACTTAAAAGCGTTTAGCAACAGTAAATAAGACATTTCTCAAAGGAAAAAAAGCCTGTTAGCATTTACACTTATTCTTTGAAAGGAGGCTTTATGAATCACCTGTTTAAAATAATTTGCCAAGGACCAATGTATTCTCATAAACATTGGTCCTTGGCAAATTATTTTCTCTGTGACACTGCCTTTGGTCAGCCAAAATATTCTTTTGAGAAATCCAAAACAATCCTTTCATTTCAAATATAATGGATTTTGATAAATGGGAGAAAGAGAAGACAGACTTCAGTCCACAGCAGAAGAAACCCTTTAAAAACTGGATACAATATATCTATCCACAGAACACGCATAATTCCTACATCACAGACCCAATGCAGGACATGAGGCGTCTGCGACCGTTTTCTCACAAGCACGAAAATGAAAAATCATGTCCACACCCCAGTTTATCATTAAATACAGATGTCGGCAGAAGCTCTCACAATATTCTCCCCGAGCTCCTGAATGCAATTTATTGGGATACTGAGCTACTAACATCCCTGTGGCTTTAACATCCGGTGCTGTCACAGCTACCAATAACATACAAAGTGAAAGAACATCAAAGGAACAGAAGTAGTGTTTTTGAAGCCAGCTAGCTGACTACCACATTCCCAAACTGAAACACGTCCCATTTGATTGACAGAATACACGCAGGTTGCCCAATCTGAAAAACTTGAAGGAGGTGGGAAGCAAATCAAGAGGCAGAAGGCACAATTGCTCATTGATCTTGAGAAATATTATCACACGTCTCATGTCATTTGGTAGTAGTTCAAGATTTGCCCCCCAGCCACTCACTCACAAAATACCAGCTGTAGTGGTTTCGAAAAGAGCTCCGGCTTTCCAATAAGCCCCCTGACATGTTTTGATATCTTGTCCTCAAATGTCTCTGGTTGAAAAGCACCCCTCGTCTACTCCTAGAGAGCAGTAAATCTCTACATCAGAGAACTAAGTCGGTCTGAATAAAATGCCCAGTCATGATAATTGAGTCTGGCTGTTTATGGTGCTAGATTTACGACAAGGCTGTATCATGTAACAGAAACCTTTCACCCTGGGGCACGACATGATAACATTTACACAGAACTCTGTATAAGCTGAGGCACAACGAACTGCCTGGTCAGTCTCCCCTGCACTCAAAATGTTTCAGCTATTCCATGTATTTTCTATAATTATCTGATTTTTTCCATGCAGTCATCCTCACCAGATGCATGCCTATGTAACGTGACAGCCTAACAAAGCCCCACATTTTCCATTTGCAGAGGGAAATGACAGCACAATGTCACTTTTTCTCCAAGTCCTGCCAGATCACCATTCTCTAAATCCGGCCAGGTGAAGTAACCTGGCAGTTCAATGTCGGGAATGCACAGTGGCCATCAATCACAAACCATCAAGGATGTTGTCACAGGCATGAATACCACCTGCTTCCCATTAACTGGAACTGGAGCTGAAATATTTGCAGAAAATGGGGTGAAAGAAAGGTAGAAGGTTCATGTTCATGTTTTCTGGTTATGTAATTAAAACCAATGAAATAGCTATTAATAGACTGAAAGTTCTGGGACATGCCATTATAGAAAGACCACTCATTCACTCCTCCTTTCACATTGCCCAAACCAAAACCTGAGGTCTCAGCTCAACTCAAGCTTCAGGGTTAATAACAAGAAACAAAAAATGCAATTCTAGTTACAGTTGACCTTCTATATTCTGTATATTGGTATTATCTGCATGGTCAGTTGCTCTTACAATTTAAAAATTCCCATTGATACCTTGCGTCAGTCGTTGTTATTTTCAGGTCTGTACTCTGTGTGAAGCTGTTGCTTGTAACATTAATAAACGACCACAGTAAAATGTGGAAAGAGACTTCTTCATAAGTAAAATGTAGCAGTATTTTGTAATTGTATAAGAAGTGAACTGCTAAAATATGTTGTTATTTATACAAACATAATGTGAAACAAAATAACTTGTGTTTGATATCCAAATCATAATGCACTGAAACTCACATTTTTAAAAGTTTAATTAAATGCCACAGTGCACTACATTTAATTTTCAGTCCTTAACATATATTTTCCAACAGAGAGCATTATGGGTACTTCTTTGAACTCTTTGTCCACTTTAGATGTTTAAATGTGTAATGAAGGCCTATATTTTAATATTTAATCCATTTCTTAGTGGCTACAGTATATAATTTCAATTTGCAACCCATCTTAATTCATGAGTAAAGTTTTAATGCTGAGCTCTTACAGAAATGACCATCTATGTTACTATTTCAAATGGGACTAAGTTAAAGTGAGTTAAAAAGAATGCTAATGGTTAAACCTACTAATCTGTTCTATGGTCAGTCTGTGCCAGTCAGACTGTTGAATACCTGGTCTTCTACTCTTTCAGACAGCCTTTGTGAACAACATCAAGAACAGAAGAAACATCTGCCTCTAAATTATCCTTCTTAATACTGTAAAAAAACCTTTCCCTACAGATAAGCCTGCTATGGCTTACAGGTCTCGTCACTGCAAGTGGGGAAAACATTTCTCCTACACATTTCATAGCTTTGTAGAAGTGCTGCCTATCACAGACTGGAGGCCTGGCTGTCACCTGCAATACTGCTACGGTCTTTGACACTGCTTTCACTGCCTCATAATCAACACAAGGTCATCCTGTGTCAGGCGACTAAATACTGAGCATGTTTCTCTTGTCGACATCTGGTCCACATGTAAAGAACTGTACTTACAAAAAAAACGCAACAAATAATTCCTTTCAGGCCTTGATCCCCCTGCCCATGTGGTATTTCCCGTTTTGTAAACACGCACAGAACATTTCAGATTTTTTTTTTAAATTCACCGCCGACTATCACTTTTTATCTTTTGTTTTACTCCTCTTGTCTAAACATATTGAGATTGTAGTGCCCTGTTGTTTATGTGCTTTAGGTGAACAGAAAAAGAGTCAGCCAGCAGAAACACATGCACAATTGTGTTGTATTTGATAGAAACAATTCTATCAGCAGCCATTATCAGTATTTTTAAACAAATTAGTTGGATACTTCTGATGGCATTTGATTTCAAAATATTAAATTAAAGGAAGACAAATCCTATTTTGCTACATTTCGACTGTACATTTCGTTCTTCAGCTATAGCAAAGAAACTTCACTCCTCCTGGTAAAGAAATCTAATCACATACATCAAATGTTCTGTTTTTTTTTTACTATAGCCTACCAAGTTTTGTATTTTAAACCAAGCAGCTGTTGTAATGCCATAGAAGCTGGTAGTGCATGATTAATTCAGTGATGTACTCAATTTAAGTACCCAAGTGGCTTTCAGGAATAGAATCCATAAGGCGCCTGGAGACAGCGGGGTTAGAAAAACTATGAAATAATAAATAAATCAAATTGCAAAGTATACGTAAGGTGAAATGAATAGGTGGCATAGTGTATACATTTGGCACAGATATCTTACATTTTCTTTAATCATACCTCTAAATATTGCCCACATATTCAACATAGGCTTTCTGACTTTTTTAAGATACTATATGAAGCATTGTGACTTTGACCATTTGATGTGACTGCAACGGTGAAAAATGATTTGATTTCTTCTGTATAAATATTAAATTGTATAGTTGTAACATGTAGACACATTAGTCTTCAGCATATTTACCGCCTTGGTTATATTCTAAAACTGTGGAATTTAACGAGAAACGATGAGAGTGATTTAAATATTTAATCCAAATGTGTCCAGATTGCTAGCATTATTGCATGTTGCTTGGAAATCAAGCTGTGAAAAGGAAAGAATTTTATATGTTTTGAATTGTGCACCTGCACATAGAGGTTTTTATGCGTTCTCTTATTATTTATTGCAACTCCACATTTCTTTGAAAGAGAAATTACAGTGCTCAGAGAATTGTAGGATCAAGTCAGGACTAAAGTCAGCAGAACTGAGGATCCAATATTCAGAAGTGATGCCCAATATGACAAAACAAGAATGTGCTATTATGTAAACCACAGATGTCCATGCTGCATGCTTCCCAAGCCAGACAGACAGACCCCAGAGAGAAACATATCTTAACAAATTTTATGGTCTTGGTTTGAGTCACATTCACAAAGCATTAAACAATGTGCTGAGCTGGTACCCGACTTTTCCTAAGTAAGGCTAATGAAGAACTCATCTGCACTCATTAGCTCTTTCATACTTTTGGAGACATGGCAGAATGTTATCGTTTTCACACAAATTGGACACACAGAGGTCACAGTGCAAATGATAAACGATGGGCTTGAAAAGCACATGACAAAGTATGGACCTGACAACTACCTAAGCTATATAATAATAGTATAATAGTCGTTGCTATTTTCAGGTCTGTTCTCTGTGTGAAGCTGTTGCTTGTAACATTAATAAAGGACCACAGTAAAATGTGGAAAGAGACTTCTTCATAAGTAAAATGTAGCAGTATTTTGTAATTGTATGAGAAGTGAACTGCTATGAACTGATATGTGGGCAATATTTAGAGGTATGATTAAAGAAAATGTAAGATATCTGTGCCAAATGTATACACTAAGCCACCTATTCATTTAACCTTACGTATACTTTGCAATTACTACTACAACTAACAACTACCTAAGCTATATAATAATAGGAAAATAGCAGAAGCAATTACTGAGGCCAAGATAAAAAAAAACATGCACTCTGGATCTTACTTTGGTTGCCGCTGGGTAGCCCACAACTACATCTGCTGGGCAATGCATGGTTTCTTCATGGGAGACTTCCACAGCTGTGGCCCACTGATCCAGGAATCCGCTGGGAGTGTAGAGCCCACAATCCTGCACACTTTTTTCTCTCTCAAAGTCCTCGCAGACCCCATCTCCATCGTAGTAGTAGCACAGGCTGGGCTCGTCTGTGGGGAAACAAGAGAAAAACAACACTTTCAGACCTTGCTGGGAGTGAGTTACACTACGGCACACATGTGGCAGTAAGCACTACCTTCTGACAAAACCAAGAGATGACTTTTTCATTTGTCCAATTTGAAATCATAGACACTATAAAAAAAAAAACTCCATGAGTTATGAAGCTGTGACAAAGCACGATTAGTCAGAAGTGCAGTAATTTGGGTACCTCTGACCTAGGGAGCAGACGTACAGAGGAAGCTAGGCAGGAGCTTAGACTCATTGCAAACACTAACTTAGACTGCGGACACATGAACGATAATTTCTACACTGGTAACAGCTACAGTAGAAGCCTATTCTGAGTGAAACACCTCTTCATGTTCTGTGTCAGAGCAGCTGGAACTTAAAAGACGGAAACATCAGTCTCTGCTGGACTACAGTAAACAGGATCTATTCAAAATATTTCATTACAAACAGGTAACTAACTTCCAGGTAATTCTGAAGCCTTCATTTACAGAAGATATTAGTTGTAGTAAAGATAAAGTACTGTACATAGGGATCTGAGGATAGGAATCTTTCAAGAAAGCAGTTTGAAGGGGGAATAAAAAGCTGAAATAAATAAAACCCATTAAAAATGTGATTACTGTTCATTGTATCTTTTCTCAAAGAAGAAAAAACATGCACTCGGCATAAACTATACTTCGAACAATCCTGAAATTAATTGCCCATAGTTATTTTCACTCTTACCAGGACCAGAAATAAATGACAAAAAAAAGCATTGAGCCAAATATGGGTTACATGACAAAGAGCAAAAGCCGAAATTGTTCTAGACACACTGCATGGTGTTTTGCCCTGCTTTCCTAAAACATATTCAAACTTCATTGATTGTCTTCGAGTGGCTGTTCCAGTATTGAATAAAAAGTCTGTCTCCTTTGTGTGTAAATGTCTGTATTATCAATTTGCAGTCAGTATTCAGTGGCAGGCACTAGCTTCAGCATATGCTATTCCAGAGGACGCAGCCTTTCAACACAATGTTAAAGCCTTTAAAGATTTTATCTGTAACATCTGTTGTTTAATGGTCCTAACCATTCACATCCTTTTTTTTTTTTTACAATACAGTGTTTTGCTGAACCAGCTTACTATATTGGGAGATCTACAGAGCTAAAGTTATTTACTTCAAAGCTTTACAATAACATTTGCACCAAATACAGTAAATATCATAGTCCACAGTATCCATTTAAAGGGTTAAATCAGGATATGGATTGTTTATGTAAGACACTTGTGTCTATTGATGCATAAATGAATGATAGGATTTGATACAATTAGCACGCAGGTAAAAAAACAACTGGAAATACAAACTGCAGGTTTGAGCTTACAACACCGATATACAATGCTAAAAGTACATAAGTAAATGTTAATTTGGGGAGGGGATGTATGTGAAGAAAAGGGAGAAGCAGTGGAGCTGCAGCTATTTTAAATGCCAAAGAAAGTTCAACCAGGTCAAAGCAGAAACATTCCTTGACAATGCTACTTTTGAGAACGGTGGGTTCAATTAGCTTCCTCCACTTTAGGATTGTATGTATGAAGAAAAGGGCTATTTTTGACATACAGCAAAGAAAAAAAAAATATATCGATAAACCCTGTTTCCGGTGATGTGCTTATCTAAAGAGTTGCCAAGCAGCATGATAAACAGGCAAAAAAAAACCAACAACATGGGGGATAAAAAAAAATCCAGACATGTATTGTCCATCAACAAATTAATTTGGTTTGCAATTCTCTTTTTCATTTTTTATTCTGCAAATACCACCCAACAAATGACAGGTGACCAAATATCCCTTCTGTGCCTATGAAAAACACTGACCCCTAAAAAGAAACAAAACTGTCAGCAAAAAGGGAATTCCGGAAATGAGTCTTGTTAAAATTGATTTTAAACAGTATACAAATTGTTTTTGTCATTTATATAAACAGGTTTTCTAGAGCTGTATCTATTCAACAACTCATTCTTTATGATGACAGAACGTATCTGCTTCTACAAAGGCTAGAGACCTAAATGGATGTGGGTAAAATTTCCAGCATTCCACTAAGATTTGTCCACGAAGAAATGAAAAGCGAAAACGCAAATGAAATGGAATTCTGTAAATCACCTACTGTATGATAATGAAGTGTTTTGATTCTTTTTCTTGAAAAAATAAGAAACGAAAGTGCATGACTTTGCAATCGCACGGTAGAGAACAGTAAAACAAAACAATGCCATTCCAGAAGCACAGTGCGAAGCATGAACAGCTTTATTTTTTCCTACTGCTGAGCTCCTGGATCCCGAGGTGTCAGCTATATATACACACATTGACAGTCAGTCAGCTTTCAAGGAAGAAGCTGCCAGGCAGCAGTGTGTTTTTTTTTTTAATCTAACAATGCCGTCACCTGCTGAGAAAGTGGACGCATCTCCCCCAAAAGCAAAAGAACCCATGAACTCCAGAGGACATGCAGGAAACATGTTAGCAGGATGTCAACTTATCAGAGACGGCAGTCTTTCCCCCCTGTGTAATGCACTGATACCTACCCACTGGTGTAAAAACAGGGTGCATCCTCTGAGCCCGACAATCTGGTTTAAATCAAAGGAAGAACGAGGCTCTTTCTGAGCCTGGAATGCTGATGAGTCGCTCTCCTCCTGCCTTCCTGTTTTTAAACACCTCGTGGTGATTGACACTTATTAAATTGCGTGTCTTGCAAAAAAAATAACTCAAGATAGCAAACAAAAAGAAAAGCCAAAAAGCGGGCTCTATTTGTGTCCGCGCGTGTTTGCTTAGGTATTCATCCAATGTCAATATGAACCCAGCAAAAACAGTTTGTGTCTAGATGACTACCAAAGAAGCTGCTTGCAAGCAGCTGTTGTGTCTCGTGTTGAGATATTTTGGTATTGTTTTCACGTTGAGGGTGGAGAACACAGGTTATGACAATCAGAATCAACAGCTGGCCCAGTACATGGAGTTAACCAAACTATTACCAACGATTAATCCTTCAATGTTTGCACAGCAGCTTGGAGATTCGATATTTGACTATTTTCTAAGCGATTTTTGAAGTAATCTCTTCAAGATTCACCTCCTTGTTAGTGTTTATGTATTAAGTCAATGTGACAAAAGGGGGCAAAATTCACAGGGGATTTGTTTCTTTAAGCTGATAAGAAGCCTGGTGTGGGTTACTGAGAAGTACAGAAGAACTAGCAATTCTAAATAGCGATGGAACACACAAACTAAATCCTATCATGTTGAATTCTGGTCTGGTGAGGCTTTAGGAAGTGGGACCAGTTTAGTTATTAGATAAGAAATCAGATCTGAAGGCGTCTTCCCGAAAGGACTGATAGAAAAAACAGCTCCCAGCTGAAAAGGAAGGCCTTTCTGTACTTTAGGAAGTACTTCTCCACTTTCAAATTCTAAAACCTGCCTTCCTGAGGCCAGAGGCTTAACTCGTTTGTCACAGGCAAGTCTAGATCAAATTAAGAAAATGCCGTCAGCCATCATCACCTGCACCAGGTGTTATTTCGAAGATCCCAGTGTCATCACAGCTGCATCTGTTCCAATTTGTTCTCACACCGCTAAATTAATCGCTTGTGTGCAAAGACGACAAAGCAAGCGGGGAATTTATTTTACAAATACTGCACACGGATAACGTAACTGTCACAGCCAGCTCCCCCAGCTCCGAGTAGGAGAGCACAGTGGAGGAGCAGAGAGACAGAGTGTGTTGAAACACGTGAAGAGCTGCATCTCCTTTTTGCTTCAATTGCTGGTACATTAAGTGACTGAGGAAAAGACACATCCCTCTGGGCCAAGCATGTGACAGCACTGCCAGCCCCAACAGGCAATAAGACTGAAAAACACTAAACATAGCTCAGCCTTTCAGTCATTTAGAACTCACTGATGCATCCAAGTAGAAGACATGTGGGACTGGAAATAGCTCACACTCAGAAACAAATCCTGTTATTGTTGTTCTTGACTCCCATAGCAGACCCAGCCCTTCAAAAACATTGGTCCTGTTTTCTACAATTGGGAAAGAATTGTAGCACTACAAAATACTACAACTCATATGTACACTTTTGGAGGATCCAACACAATACAATCACATTTTGGAAGATAATCTGACCACATGTTTACAAATTCCACTAAAAGAAAAGAATGTATATTTTAAATTACAATATACAAATCTAATGTACATTTTGTAATCTTTAAGACCTTTTCTCAGTCTTCAATAGTTAATGAAAATGGATAAATCAGACAATAACATAGTGGAAGCTGTACAATTACTATCAGACTGACAGGTTTTTATTGTATATGAGCTCAGTTTACCCAATGAAAAATGAAAACAAAGTATTAAATTTACTGAGTTTTTGTTTACAACATCATACTGGCAATAACACTACCATTATGCAGCCTGATCTGGTCAGGTCTCAGAAGCTAAACAAGGTTGGACCTCAACTTGGGATGGGAGATCCCCAAGCAAAACCAGGTTGCTGTTCTAAGTGGTATTCGTAGATTGCAGGAACTGTAGCACTCCTCCTTTTGGTCCACAATCTCAGAAGCCAAAACACCAAAATAGTGACTGGCATCATTGGTAACAAAATAGTGATTAGTGACAGTGAAGGAAATGTGAAACCAAGGTCTTGTCTACGTGGTTATTAAAGATTCCATAGCAAAGTTCGGAAGATCAGGGGTAACCCCAGTGTCCTTGCTAATTTCCACTATGGACTTACATCATCTGGCCTCCCCGATGTCCCCTCTTAATTCAATTTAGTGAAGTACTTTCTCACTTCTGTAAGTTATATGAGTGAGCAGCTGCTCTACACAAGCATAATACCTGCTGTCACACAGGTGTGTGCTATGCTTCAGTAGTGGATGAAGAGTGGGTTTTTCCTATATGTAAAGCACTTTGTGATTCTTTGGGACATAAATCACTCAACAGAAAGCCAGAAATTCAACTAATGACCACACAAAGTTCCTTAAACTGAAATTTGTACACC